CAAAGGTATTTATCTATACTTCCCTTAATAAAACCTGACCTGATCCTGCCAGATCACGTCAGTGGCGTCAAGCGTTTGAAGGAGGTGGGCTGTAAAACCGCTACAGAGTTACTATAGAAGTGTGCCCCAGAATCGGTCTCATTTTCTCTTCCCTCTCCCACCACTCAGTTTATTCTTGAAACTGGTCAGCCATCTCCTGGCGGAATTGGGCGCAACTTCTGGAAGAGCTAAACAGCCCGTCTACCCGTGCCATAAATGACCTGACCCCCTGAATAAAACGCCAGATTTTAATTTAAAAATAATAATTGGACTGTTCGCAGCTCAAATGCGCGAGAGACGGTGAGGTGAATCGACAAACTATATACACTTATTGATTAACGTTCATCCCTGCTTGTTGCGACATGCCCTCGAGCAGACTGAATAAAAGCTCGTAATACAGACGTATTTCGTTGTGAGAAACAAAAGTCCATTGCCTGTAAATCATTCGCCCCATCAATTTGTTTCTCTTGAAATTACGTTTAGATTTTACGGTACGAAACAGTTTAAATGTACACATTTAACGTGAATAATAACGCTCTTACGAACTGACGAACACTATCTTCAAGATCCTATGCGAGCCAATTCCTAAGCCATTTCAGTCACGAAGAATAAAATTTAAAGAAGACGTAATTTACTACCAAAGGAGTGCAAGAAAGAATTTGCTCGTGCATGTTTTCCGTAAAATATATTTGAATTTATAAATGCAGTCAAAATCCATGATGAAAATTCATTCTAATTAAGTAGCTATTTTTTACAGTACATACTTTTTTAGCGGCCAGAGTGAAGCTCGTTAAAAATCCGGCATCCTGTCATGACTAAAATGACTTGAAAATAGGCTACACGATAATCAGTATTATAAACTTACTCAATGCCGATTAGCTAGTGGATATTAATCTTGCGCAACTGTCGGCAGCCGTACTGTATGCATTATACAGGCACTCGGAAGCAGGCTCTTTCAAAGGCCGGGATTTCGCCGTGGCTGAAATATCTGAGGATTATGGAGGGAGATAGTTACTCTTACGACCTACTTGAGTAATTTGTTCGTATCGAAATCAGGTTCTAAAATTTCAGTCGATATTTAATGAAATAGGAAATCTACTGTATATCGAACAAAAGATTCCTCGATAGAAGAAATAGGATACACTTTTCTGGGAACATTAGATTTAAATTGCATTTTCAGCGCCTGATGTTTTTAGGTCAACATACCCACAGAAATCCTATTCCAGACGCCTGCTGCAATACCGCGCACCAATGGCAGAGTGGTTCTCAGCCAATCGCAGTTATCAAAACCGGCCAGTCAAATGCAAGGCTGACGCAGACATGTCCTCGCCCATATGTTCAGGTGACACCTGCACGCCTGCTCTGATGATGGCGGACATACGGCCTCGTCCGACGGCCAACTTTACCTAACCGATTATTTATGCTTCCTGTGCTGATCGTTCATCAACGAATGTCGATGTTCCCGATCTAAACCGGCAAAACAACGAGTCCGTGGCTGAATTGTTAGACCATTGGATGTCTAATCAACTAGTCGCGTATTCGAACCTTGGATGGTGCACCACATGTGGTTGGGTATGACTGACTGATGATGGCTACTGAGCCATAAATGGTCATTCCAGCCTCCCTTGCCTTTGCCGGCCATGTTCACAATGCTTTCTCTATTGGCGAACATCATCTGTTCGTCTGTTCGGAACTGAGCCTGAAGGTTGCAGTGGCTAGGGTATGCATAGGACTTAAGCTGCCGTGAACGTGATTAAGATCAGTCTTTATGGACACATGAAAGGTAGCTTACATTTTCATTGTATTGCGTGTACGGCAACTATATATCTTTTCTTCACACCGAACTACATAAGAGATATGTCTGTTTTAATTGATAGCCGGTAGTTACTTCTAAAGAATAGATTAAAACACTTAACTATAAGTGTTCTTAATGATGAGAATAAAGTTCATGCTCAATTACGAGGGGGTCCTCAAAAACTGGAATGATTTATTTAAGTCTCTAGTTATTTAAGGGAGCATCTCAAAAACACTAAGTCCCTTCAAAGTCCTGTATAGAAGATGATATGAAATTTGTCTCAACGGGTTTTTCACTCTTCGAAACATTTTTGATATTCTTCTAAGGTAAAGCTGTTAAATGGGTAGGACTGCCTTCAGAGGTACTATTTGCTTTCTAATTATAATAATAAACAAGTTTTAAATTTTAATTAGCCTGAGTTTTTCTTTTTTCGTTAAATTCCGCCAATATAAGGTCGCATTTCCATCAATAGGTGTAGTGTCCAAGCAGTCAGCAGACAATCTCAACAAGAGTTCCTTCAGGAA